TGACGGCCAGCTCAGAGACTCCGTGTCATGTAGAATTCTACATATCGACGGGATTCTATAGACTCGGCGCATTCGATATGTCGAATTCTACAGGCCTCCACGCCAACAGTGAACAGCCAGGGATTGGAAAATCATCAGGGAATCCCGGGGTTTTATCAATTGGAAAAACCCAAAAAAACCCGCTGGGTTTTATAACCTGGAGTACTAAATAAAACTAACTAGTACTAAAAATAAAACCAAATAGTACTTAAAGGCTGTATAGGTATATGGGCTTAAATATAATCAAATACCCTATACGAGCAAATAGCTCACCGAGACATGCCTTGTTCCACTAGAACAATTAGGTATTCTTCCCCTGTGTACATACATCTGATAATCCCAGGAAAGATATTTTTTCAATATTAGGTTTAACGGTTTTATTGAAAATAATACTAATTCTCGAGTCAATACTAAATAATAATAATACTAAAAAGTTAAAAAAATCTCAAAGCATTTAATACATCAATAAAAGTATGATCACCTTGCTGACGCATATTCTCAGTCAGCTCACAAAGAGTAGAACGTTTACTGCTCCAAAGAACTCGTCTTCACAGTTCTTAATTTTCCTTAATAGGGCGTCAATCATGCACAGCATTTGATATGATACCATAGAAATTTCCTCGATAATCAGAAACTTCGTTGGCTTCCATTGTTGCCTTATTATTCGCAAAAAGTTTTTGGACAGGGGTGATATACCTGTTATTCGACCATCCTTCTGTACTGGCAACTTTAAGATACTATGTATGCTAGCTCCATTTATCAATCGTGCTGCAACTCCCGTAAGTGGGCATACTTTTACTGCTTTCTTCACATAGCACCTGTTAATTTGATGTCGTAGTAAATTAAGTAGAAATGTTTTGCCGACCTCAGCTCCACCTGTCCTGTAATAGTTATTTATGTACCAAGGCAGTAAAGTGATACTTTATCGAACGAGTCTGAGATTATGAGTCGAGCGAGCGAGGCGAGTAAAAGGGCGAGTTCGATAAAGACACTTTACTGACATGGTGCATACAAAACTTTATCGCCAACCGTAAAAATTGATAACTGTAAAAAATGGAGATATTATAACATTTCATTATAAGAGCAAACACAGAACACATCTACGTGAATGTACACCCTGTCGTATCGTATAACATCAATTAATTCTTGAAGTCGAGGAGTTTCAATATGTCAACAATGTGTAAGTCCTTCTTTATTAGAATTATCATTGGTACCAACTATAGTGTCAATTTGATTTGACTGTTGACTGAAACCGTCTTCGCGATTTTTGTTCTATTAAGCACACATTCCTCAATAGAACTCCACAAAAATATTTGCGGCAGGTAAAGTAAGTGAAATAAAGTATTACTTTACTTCCGGAAATCAATATGGTATGGTAATGTATAGTTTTACTGACGGTTGGCGATAAAGAATATTTTTAAGCGTCCTTCGGCACCCGACATTTGACTTTGTATATACTGAGTTACCATTGTGAAAATTTCTTTTTGTCCAGCATTTATAGACTGCTTAGCCCAGTATGAACTGGTTATCATTCATTGACAGATATGGAACTTCTTCATAACATTCTAGTTTTATAATAGGCTCTTCCTGTTCCAATATCTCAAATCCGTGTACTTGATTGTGTAGGTCCTCTACTTGATTGCCATTTTCATCTTCCACTATTATCATTTGTCTTTCTTCTAGTCTCGTTTACATTTTCAGACACCTCAAGCTGCGACATCGGGTTGGGCGCTATCAATAGGCAACATTACAGATGTTTGCATATAGGGACAGTTGCAGATGTCGGGCTCGAGAACTGTTGTACTTGTACCACCTGATGAGTTATAACATCTTGCCTGAAATGTACGCCTACGCGTGTTAGAATGTAGGCGATATTACGCGACTCAAGGCATCGTTTACAGATGCGGCAAAGTTCTTACAAGTTGTCGCATTCTATAACGCATGCTCTGCCATTTTCTGCCGTTGGTTTGCCTTTAGGGCCACATGAATATAAGTCAGCGAAATAGTATTATTCTTCACAGCGAAATTCAAAATTCAAATTCACCTCCAAAAATAAGAGTGTTGTCATCATATTCTATAGAAAATCGCTTGTGATACATTTGTAAGTGTTCTTTGACTTCATGAAAATTTCACATCTCAGAATATCCTGTTTCATCCAGTTCATTTAGCCGTAGTAGAGCACGAATTTCATAATATAAGCAGTCACCCTTTACTAACATGTTAGCGTTCAGAATATTGACGTCCCATCGATTAGGATGGAGAAATGCGGTCCGCACAATATTTGTTAACGACGTGGCACTATACTGTATACTGGCATATCCGGAAGTGAAAATGTGATTTCCTAGATGCGATGAAACCCAAATAATTCTGGCAATGTCATTAATTGGAATTTCAATTATTTCAGGATCTCCGTCTTCAGATAAATCGGGCGCACTAAATCAAATCTTGTTCACTAATTTGGACATTTTTGTTAATAAGTACATCTCTATAAAGCGGGTTATTTCTGATTAACCATTTTAAAGCACTATAGACTTTTTCGCGAGATATGTGAATTCTCTTGTGATGTTTAAATTTTCCAATCATTCTGTTAGTACAACGATACCTACTTAGCTTGAAGATCTCGGAAGCATATTAGGTAGTCTTACACTGACCTCAAAGATATCTTGAGCAAACAAAACAGCTTGTCCGCAGAAACCGTACTGCCCATATAGCCGAGTAAATTTTACAATTTTAATAAACGGGATGATTCTGCAAAGTAAACGTTGTTGTGATTGAAAACCCAACAGAACTTGACAAGTTAGCTGAAAAAATAGCAGAATCCATCCAGACAACAACAAAGAAAATATGCAGCAAAAGTAAAAATCCAAAGAACACAAAACTAAGCCCAGAAATTGTAGATTTAATAACAGAGAGAAGAACACTAATCAGAGATGATCCACAATACAACGAGAAGAATGCAAGAGTGAAAAACATAATAAGGACAGACCTGAGAACTTATACAACTAAACAGAAACAATCGAAGCCAACAAGAATATGAAAGTACTGAAAACAAAGTCATCCGACGGAAAACAAAGAATTATAAACATCAAAAATCAACAAGGAGTAGGTACTCGTGAGCGATAAGAAATCCATTGTGGACGAAACTCAGCACTTTTATAAATACCTACCTCTATACGTGTACGGTACCAAAACCACATATAGAACCGAGGAAAATGTTAAATATGGGCTCAGAAGAAATACTCGAAATTACGTCTTCAGAACTAAAACGCGCTTTAAGACATTTAAAAAATAAAAAAGCTCCAGGGGAAGACCACATAACCATAGAGATGCTGAAATTGGGAGGCAACGAACTTATGTACCATATTTAAACACTACTCAAAAAATGCCTCTCGGAAAGAAAAATACCAAAAATATGGGAAAATGCAGAAGTGATATTTCTATTTAAAAAAAGAAGATAACACGAATATAGAGAATTATGGTCCTATTAGCCAGCTTTCTCATTTATATAAGCTACTCATGAAAATCATCACGAACTGTTTAACAACAAAACTCGATTCCTATCAACCAATTGAAGAGGCAGGATTCCGCAAGGGATTTTCCACCACCGATCACCTACAAACCATAAGACAACTTATAGAAAAAACTTCAGAATATAATATCCTCCTACATATGGCTTTTGTAGATTATCATTAAGCTTTTGATAGCATCGAGACATGGTCGTTGCTTGAGGCAATGGACTAAGCCAGAATCGATTCACGCTAATCTCTCTTCCTAAAGAACATATAACAACAAGCAACGTTTCATATAAAGATGGGAACATGGGTTTCACTTGCACTCTCTTTTGCACGTTTTGCTTTATACTTTTCTTTTGCTTTTTCAAGCCTTCTTTTTCGTTGTGTTGCAGTTTCTGTTTTATTTTTGTATGTTTTTGTTTTATTATTATTTGTTACCATATTGTTCCCACGAGTAATGGTCATTATAACGGTCGACCCCCCAGAGGTCTAATAGAGGCGCAAGTTCTTATACAACAAGATATACCCAAGTCTTCAGGGGAAAACGCTAACGACACATCACATTTTCGTATCTGTTTTGGATTCCATAGTTATGAATTCACACGCCCCTCCACCCACCACCTGCCATTCTTTTTTTCATTAAATTATATTGTCCCCAGATCAAATCATAAATCTGAAAACCGCATGTTCATATCTGTTTTGGTTCGAAATTTATGAATGAATAAAGTAGCAATTTAGTTTTTCAACCTTTTAGAGCTAAAATTTAACTGGAAGGCCTTGAAATTCCATTTTTTTGCTGAAATTTGTTCCATTGAACCTTGAACCTGGTAAGAAAGAGCTGATGCTAAATTAGGGAAGCGTAAAAATTCTATTTCTAGCTTTTCAAGTACTGGAATTTAAACTAAAGGAGCAATAAAATTTTGTTTGAAACGTCAATTTTTCAACCATTCAGAGCTAAAATTAATCTTTAAACTCTATTATCGGCTCTCCAAGAGCTGAAATTTGAAGCGATAAAGTAATTTTTCCGGCTCTAATAAAACCAAATTGAACTAGAGTAGCAAAAAATACTGGTTTCTGACCGTTCTAGAGCTAAAGTTGATCCTGAGCAGTTTGAAACGTCAACTTTTCAACCTTTCAAGGCTAGAATTTAGATGAAATAGCTTGAAATGTTTGTTCCCTTTTATTCTTAGGGGATTTACAATTCAAATGTCTCAGAACCTTTTTCCAAACATTTACAATTTTTTGTATACAAGAAACTATCTATGAAGAGACTGTAAATAGACAAAGTCGGAAAAGTTGCTGGGAAAATCAAGCTTGATTTTCATTCAATATAAAATACATTTCATTGTCTCACTATAGACACCAAGGATTCCGTTTTATAGCGCGTCGTTGACTAGATAATTCTCTGTTAAACACATCTTCGAGTATAACAATTTTTATTCTTTCCAGCTGTATCCCTCTTCCCAAAATATGTCTCCAGAACGGCCCAGTTCGGCGCAAAGCGAAACGGGCGCCCAACCCCAACAGCGAATGTCGGTACCGGGCAGCCCAATTGCCTTAACGCCGATGCACAACGCCCAATCGCCCATATCCATTCTATTAGCAGTCGCCCAAAGCCAAAAAGGCCCAGACGACGATCTGACTAGCTTATCATGGCTGCATGAAGGTGACATTCTAAAAGGCATGAACATCAATACGTCACCTTTGAACAGTTCAAATTCGACGCCAATCAAAACGAGTGTCCAGTTTCTTCCCGACCAATCGCCGACAAGTGATTACGTTGACGATTCTTCCATTGGTACCCCGGAGTCTTCCACTTATAGTGCTGTCAATTCGCCTACACCAAGAGGTCATAATAATAATTATCCTACAGGTAATTAAATGTAAAAAACTAATTCTATTTAAAAATAAATTGATTTTTTTTTTTAAAGGAAATCAGAGTAGTAGTAGTAGTCGGAGCACAATACCGTACGATCCACAAATCCACATCCAAAACAAACCGCCGTACTCGTTTTCCTGTTTGATATTTATGGCTATTGAGGATTCGAAACAGAAAGCGTTGCCGGTCAAAGAAATTTACGCCTGGATCGTCGATCATTTTCCTTATTTCCAGAACGCGCCTACGGGATGGAAGAATAGCGTCAGGCATAATTTGTCGTTGAATAAGTGCTTTCAGAAAGTTGAAAAGGCACCAGTAAGTACTAAAGTAAGCATAGTTTTTTTTTTTAATTTGCTTTAATTGATTTTTAGAGTTAGTTATAGTAGATGTCCCATTGAAATATATAGTGTGACGATCTGGAGTATGCTTTATTGCTTTTTTTTACATAGTTGAAATTTCATTATATATACCTCTTCAAAATATAACAAATTATGTTCTAGAATCTAGGTAAAGGTTCCCTTTGGACCGTCGACCCCCAATTCAAGCCTAACTTAATCCAAGCCCTGAACCGATCGCCTTTTCACCCTTGCTCGGCCATCGATCCCAGTATTTATCTGATGCCCAAAGCCAACCAGTCTTCGGTAAAAGAAGAACGAAATAAAAGCACCAACATACCCAATCCTGATTTGTTTCCGTATTTGAGCAAGAAAATGAACGGCAATGGAGGGCAAAGAATTAAAACTGAACAGGTAAAATAATTGAGAATTGAATTGAGTTTGTTTTTAATTAATTGCTGTTGCAGGAAGAATCTTTGGACGCTGCAGATGCTGCCGCAGTGATGTTGAGCCTCAAGCACGCTACTAGGATTAATTTTTCGCATAATTTACAAGTATGATTTCTTATCTTGTGCCATTTTGGTTTCTTTATTGGTTCGTTTTGCAGATTATTAGTACTTCCCCTAGTCAGGATCATACTTATAGTGCTGCCGACAGTGGCGATAATGAGGACGAAGCTTTTGAGAGCGACGAAGACAAGTAAGTTCGCACTTTTTTGGTCTATTGTAAATCAAGCCAAAGGTTTTCACTTTTTAATTGAATTTAAATTTTTTCAAATTAAGCAATGACTTAAGGATAATTAAGATTCGGTAAGTGATAGATTTGATGTTGTGTCAATGTATTTATTCTTGATTTTTCGTTTAAAATCGAATTCCTGATGTTTAGTTTTGATGGAGCTGAATCATGACCAAGATTTATTTGGTAGAAACTCTTATCATTAAAAAACATTTTTCCTATTAATTATAAGAAGGTAATCGTCAAAACTTCTTCCATACAGTTTTCAAATAACTTAGGTATAGCTGAGAGAATACTGATTGGTCTGTGGGCGAGTTCGGTTAATCCTCCGCGAGCGAAAAGATGACTGGCCCCACGTGATCAGTTCTATTACTTTAAACGAACGTCACGTGAGCTTCTGTCAACAGTGTCATCTTTTAACTCGCAGAGGATTAACCGAACTCGTCTTGTAACCAAGGGTAGACGGGTAGATCACCTCGAAAAATATGTACACCTAAATTCCACTTTTAACAAAATCCTATTGTTTGTCGATTTTAATCTGATACTCGGACGGAATGTGAGTTGGTGGCTTCCTACATTAGAACGCCATTAGTAACCTGACGTCACACCTCTTTTTACCATATGAAACACCCCCTCGCTTCTCATACGGAAAGTGTCAGTTAAAAATCGACGAACAATACTGGAATAGACCTATCTATTTTTACCTGTATGCGCGCGCAACACGAGGCAATGCATTTTTATTGGCTAACTAGTACAGGTGAGAGGTGTTCGTTTTGCACGTTGGGCATCTCATTGTCTTTGTTCATTGCCCGTGGTCTGACAAGGATCAAAATTATGGTTGATAAATAACTTGACGTAGTTTGACAAGTGATCGATTTTCAATTGTATGTGTTTTTGATTGACAAATACGTTGCACGTCACGCGGTTTTCCTCCTTCTCTTTTTATCCCGTATAAATAATAAGAAGGGATTGCTATACATAAGTCTTACATGGTTTGGTTCGTTTTGCCTCGTCTTGCGCAATAAGCGTTCTGCGTCTTTTTCTATCTAATAATGTTTTCGTATTATTACCTCTTTGTCTGGTAAAATAGATAGGTCTATTCTACGGAATCATTTTTTATTTTATTTTTTTATTTATTTATTCAATTCTTTACAAACACCATATAGAAAAACAGTAATTATATGCAAAGAATAGTCTCAAAGAAAAAAAGAAACTAGAACTAGATTAAAAATTATTAAAAAACAAAAGGTAAAAAAGGACATGATGTACATATAAAATATATCACACTAATTTATCACAAACAACATAATTGACCAGGTGTGTATAAAATCAATTCATAACTCATTTAACATTTAACACTTATATAATTAACAAGTAAACAGTAACCTGATTTCTTTGGCATTAGTTTTAAATATATCAAAATCTTTAGACTCTGACAAAGTATTACAATTTACCAGCATATTATTTAGTGGAGATATACTTCCCAGAGTTACAAAGAATGTTTTTTTATTAAGGATTCTTAGATTAGGTTTAGGAACATTGAATTTAATGAAATTAATAATCTTGCAATAATTATGGTTTAAGTCATTTACAATAAAAAACACAAACAAAACTGCATTTTGATTTCTTCTATCAAATAGAGTTGTATAACTAAAACCCTCAAGCATACTCCTATATGAAAGCATGTAAGGATAAGTACCATTTTCCCTGTGAAAGAGATACCTCAAAAATCGCTTTTGCACCCTTTCGATAAAATCAATATTAGAAGCTGCCGTTGGGCTCCAAATATTTGAGGCATACTCTATGTGAGGCCTAACCAGTGAGTTTTAAAGCAACTTTATGGTTGAAGTGTTAAAATTTCCAGAGTTAGGAGTAACAAATCCCAGACACCTATATGCTTTTCCAGTGGCGTAGCTAAAATGGTCATTAAATTTAAGATTTGGTGAAAAAAGTACCCCTAAATCTTTAACATTGTATTTTCTGTAAAGTGTTTTGTTCTCTATTTCATAATCATATACAACATAATTGATTTTCCTTGTATATGTCATTACAATGCATTTATCTATGTTGAGGTACATACCGTTTTCATAAAGCCAATTTGATACCGCATCAATGTCAGACTGCAACTGAGCACAATCAGATATTGTTTTGAAAATCTTTCAGATTCAGATTCAGATTCTTTATTCATGCTAATGTTTAAAATACAAAACTTACACAAGTCAATAATAAATAAATGTCCACACACATGGAATTATAGATAAGTCACAAGATAAAATGACATTTACAAAACAATTATAGAATAAAATAAAATTACATATCAAAACAATTACAACAGATTTAAAACAAGTCTAAAATACCTAAAACTAAAAAGGCTAACAAGACAGGTCACTCTTTTCAAATTCATCCAATGAATAAAAAACATTGGTAATTAGGATAGTTTTTATTTCTTCTTTAAATTGCTTTAGCGGAAGATCTCTAAGGGCCTTGGTGAATTTATTAAAATATTTTACCGCCAGGAAATTTGGACCATTTTGGCATTTTTTCAGTCTGAAGTAGGGAGTAGTTAAGTTATCTCTGTAGCGTGTATCGTAGTTGTGATAGTCACTGTTGGCGTTAAATTTATTTATATTAGTTTTGGCATAAATCACATTCTCCAGAATAAAGACACATGGCATTGTCAAGATCTCAAGTCTGACGAAAGCATTCCGACAGTCCTCCCTGTATGATAACCCAGCTATCACCCTTATAGCTCTTCGTTGCAGAGCAAAGATTCTATGAGCGTTGGCCGCCCGCCCCCATACAATTATACCGTAACAGAGAAGTGAATGGCAAAGAGCAAAGTATGCGGTTCTGAGTATTTTATTGGAGACAGTATTTGAGAGACTCCTGAGGACAAATACACTTTTGCTGATCTTAGCTGCAAGACTGTCAATATAACAATCCCACTTTAATTTGGAGTCCAGTATTACTCCCAGAAATCGTACCTCATCCTCCGTCTCCAGATCCGTTTCACAGTCTCTGAGAGAAAATACAATCCTTTTGTTTTTTGATTCGTTCAAAATCAGATTATTTGCAAGAAACCACTCGCTCACAGCCAACTGCATCTCGCACGTTCTCCCACCAATCTCCTCTGAGTCGCACACTGCAGGTAGTATCATCAGCAAACAAAACGAAGCTAACAGTGTCGTCGCCGCACTCAGTTAAGTTGTTGATATATATTAAAAACAATAGAGGTCCTAAGACTGATCCTTGCGGGACGCCCACTGCCACCTCCATGCTCTCCGATAACACACCATCCACTCGCACACGTTGAGACCTATCTGCAAGGTAAGACTGCATTATTTTTAGGCTACTGTCATCAAAACTATAGGCTTGAAGCTTGCTTAGAAGGAGAACGTGCGAGACACAATCAAACGCCTTGCTCAGGTCGCAGAAGATGGTGCTGGTATACTCCAGACTCTCAAACGACTCCAGTACTCCCGCAACAAACTCTGTTATGCTAGAGATTGTGCTGTGCTGCTCCCTAAAACCATGTTGAGCATCAGTGAAAAGATTATTCCTTTCGAAGTAGTGCAGTATTTGAGCAGAAATGCACTTTTCGAAAACCTTTGACAGAACAGGGAGCAAAGAAATAGGCCTATAGTTGCCCACATCATCCCTTCCCCCCTTGCCCTTGTAAATTGGAACAACCAACGCACACTTTAGTATATTGGGGAAGTACATACTCTCAATACACTGATTTATGAATTTAGTTAGAGGATAAATAATAATTTCTCGTATTAATTTTAATAAAGGGACATTTAGGTTAAAAATATCCCGGCTAGTTTTGTTTTTTAAGTTTTCTATTATATCCCTAATCTCCACAAAGGTCACTGGTCTAAAAGTGAACCCCGGTCCCTGTTTGACTGTCCCCGAATGACCAGGAGCATTATCACTGATTCTCAAGTCCCTCAAGAGTTCCTGTGCTATGTTTACAAAATATTCATTGAAGTTCTGTGGAGAAATGTTAACATTGTGCGGACTCTCATCCCTACCCAGGCCTTCCCTAATTACCTCCCATATGACTTTGGAGGGGTTATTTGCATTCTGAATGCGAATGTCATTGTGCCTTTTCTGGGCATCTTTTATTGCTTTTTTGTACTGTCGTCGGTAAAAGTTACGTTGCTGTAATAAAGCCTGAGTTGGACTAGCCCTATAAAGATCATTTGTGAAGCAGACCCACTCCCTGAATTCCCGTAAATAGTCACTAAACCAAGGCCATAAGCTCTTAGTAGTTCTTACCTTATATATTTTTTCAGGAAAAGCAGATTCGAAAGCCTCCGACAGTACATTTATAAAATTTTCAGCCTTAGCATCAAGAGTTTTGGACATATCATCAAGAAAATTCCAAGCGATTCCCTCAACCAACCTAAAAAAGTTAAGTTTGCCTACCTCTGTTATCGGTCTACAGATTCTATGAACAGGAGACAGTCTCAAGCTGCCCTTGCAAGGTGTAGGGAGCGCCAATATTTGAGCAGTGTGATCAGACAAATTGAAATCTATACTCTCTGTAATACATTGGTAGAAATATGTTGTCCAAACAATTGGGACCTCTAGTATTAACATGGAACATTTGTTTGAAGCCATAAGTGTTTATAAAATCTCTAAATCTACAATCTTCATTGCTATTACTTCCAAAACCAATATTGAAATCCCCACGCTAAAACAATTTTTTTCTTCTGACTTACTAAATTAAAAGATCTTTCCAGGACATCCAAAAACAAATTGAGACTACCAGAAGGTGACCTGTAAACAACAGAAATAACATATAAATCATAATTTTTAACATATATACAGCAAATTTCAATATTCTTTTCAACCGAGAGGTCTCTAATTTCAGCTCTTTCTTCAACGTCCACTATGGATTTTGTAAAAATAGCTGTTCCTCCACGGATAAATTGTGTACGGCTGAACTCCGCTGCCAG